GGAGCCGCTCGGAACCAGCAAACCATCGTTAACTGGTACCCTTACTGTACTCTCAAAGGTGATAGAAGCAATTGTCGCTGAGACTTTAATCGACCATCTAGAATTCTGCAGCATCATAACACCGGAACAGCACGGTTTTCATCGGCACCGATCAAGCGCCACCAACCTACTGAAAGCACTCAGTAGTTGGACAGAATTGACAGACAGGCGGATGTCATTTATCTCAACTTCTCCAAAGACTTCGATTGCATCGTCCAGCGTATTCCGCTTCCCAGGTTTGAAAACTACGGAGTCCTGTCTTTGGACGATTCGAGAATTTTCTATGGCAACGCAACTACAGGTCATAGTCCTATGTGCCATATTCGATCCGATTCATGTTGAGAGTAAAATTTTACAGGGATTAGTCTTGGAAGCACGTCTGTTCCTTGCGTTCAATACCGAGCCTACGCATCCGATTGGCTCGGATCTCTCACTCTTCGTTAATGATGTTACGATGTAGCTGATCGCTGACCTAAGAGATCATGACGCAGATACAAGGGACGGGTACAATGCGTATGCATGGTTTTTGCACAGTCTACTAAGGTTTACTTCGTTCAAATATAAGGTAGCTAACATTTGTCATCAACTGAAAATCATCTGCACGCTTGCAGACCACGTTCTGCAAGCAGTCACCGAGGAACGAGACATTTGTTAATCACCCAGGCAAATCTGGACAGCTCAGAACAATCTGGGCAAGTCTCAAAGGCTGGGAACCAACACGCTGACATCCTACTGAGTGCAGTTGGGCGGTTTATTCCAACTATCTGTCTACTGATGCTTAGCACATATTTGCGGTCCCATGTGGAATACCTGATGCAGGTATGGCAGCCCTAACAAAAGCACGATCTCACAGGGTTTAGACTCCCCAGCAAAGAGATACCGAGAACGTCAACATATCATTCCGCTTTCCATTTCAAGCTGATCATCATACCATTGTACAGCGGTCATTATCGTGGCCTACGTGGCGACCTAATGATTACCTACCATGTTCTGAGGAACGACAACCGCGTCTACCGTCAACTAGTGCAAAATAGTTACAGCAAAATGTGACGGACCACCGGTTCAACTTACTCTTGCAATACAGTCGACTAGAATGTTGCCGAAACCTGTTCTTTCTCTTTGTCTGCCATCCTTGAAACACCCTACCAAATTACATTGTTTTCTTCCCCACATCATCTGTGTATAAGAAACGCGCTGCTGTTGCCCTGAACAGGTATCTTATAAATTCTAGCCTTGTACATGGAGATACGATACAGCGTGACAAACGGTGCGCCAACTAGCATTACTCTACACATTATACACATACCTCTGGGAGTTCAACCAAACTCTTTCATTGTATCACCATTTTTCTTCTTTTTTCGTTTTGCTCATCCTGGCCATTTTAGGGGACTTTTAAAGCAATGGTTTTTCCCTTGTAATACACCATCGTTACTTTGATCCATTGAGCGTTGTTTAGTATTTCGGCGAGCGGGATTTGGTGACTGAGCGGACCAAAACATCCTGTACTGATTCCTTTTATGTAGTGCGTTAATTCGAATGAAATATGGTGATATACCCCGATGTCCCATTTAGAGATTACTCAGCATACATTCGAATAGCACACCCCAAGATGGAACGTCTTTTGACAGCCTGAAATATCCCCATGTACTGCGTCTACACAGCTACCCACAGAAATGTTCGGGTTCCCTAAAAGAGCTTGATCATACATAAAAGTCATTCTACTACGATCTGGTTACATTGTACTGATGCATCCAAGGCACTAGCGATCCACCGCTAAGCGTCTATACGGAGACAGTGAAGACGTCTCTCTATTGCCCACTCGGCAGACAAGTTGTTATTGTTTGTTTCCTTAGGACCATAAATACATTCTTACAGAGCTATCATGCGACTCTGGACTAACTTCATCGACTTTGTAGGCATCAAATGAACAGACTGAATTCGGGGAAAATGATTTCAGATGGTGTCTGCAAAGTGTTTACTCTAAGTGATTGGTTCGTCTCGTCTAGCAGCGTTCGCAAAATTCCTGATGTTAGATTTGGCCCAAAACTCCACCTTGCAGGTGTTACGCGATTTCAGAAAGTAACAAGTCGCTTCAACTGTCTCCTATGTAATCACTGTGAGGCATGTGTGCTCACTAAATGTGTGGCAGTAAGAAACGCTTGGATGGCGGACCTGTTTACAAAACCATCGCTTATTCTTTCCAATGCACAAAGGCAAGTTCTATTGCCCTTCCCCTAGTCAGCCTCTTTCCGCTTGATTTTGCGCTCTTGATTTCCCTCCTGTTCTAGAACTTGCTGCAATCTATCTCCTTCCCTTCGGACACAACATATGAGACGATGGTGAAACACTTGTTCTACTGTCCGATGAGCCTGCTAGCCATCGAAATCTACCATGCATTAAAGTATTCTCGTGCTGCGCATCAAGTCCTCACGAACATCCTATGTTGCCTCAATAACTCGGAGGTTCACCGATTAAAGAAAGCCTACGCCGATCGTGAGTAATCACATTGTTTATTGAGGAATTCGCCGTATTCTAACCTACGTTTGTTTACCTCCCAAATAATGTTGATTTAACTGCCTGCAATAATCATGCCGATGGGTCAGCATCGAGTACCTATGTTTGCATGTATTTTGTGGTCTCTTGCATTGGTCAGCGTAATTATCGTGCGACTAAAGCCGTTAACTAATAGATTGTTCCGATGAATCCTCATGTCACATCAGATTGCGATTATTCATTTTTGGATTTTCGATGACAAAAGCACGAAAACTGCATATTCAAGCGATGTGCGGTAAAGTCTGGGGACTGCGTATGGAAACACTGGAAAAGCAATAAATTAGTACGGATGATTGGGAAGAAACTGTTGCTAAACCCCAAGCAAATGAGTTCCATTGTGATTGGAATTGCTCCGGCTGTATGGGCTCACCAACTTCGATTCCAGTTATTTAGTATAGAAAAAATACGAAGTTGCAACGCTTTCAAAGCAGCAGTTTTCAATGTGGCCAGATGCGCAATCGTTCACGCGCCATTCGTGGCTAAGTGAGCTGTGTTAGGTTGTTGCGGAAACGGCTCAGTTGAGTCTGATCCGATCAAATGTCAAAGCACACTGTTCGAGTCAACTAGAACAATTTACTGTATTTGGGTAGAACCCAATCCGAGATTTAATGCACATGTAATTTACTTCACTAATCAAGCTCAGATTGATAAGTGAAAACATTCGACTTTCATTGATTTATACGGTATCCTGTATTCCTTCGCTTCCTATAAAGCCAGTGTCATTTTTGCTTTGATATACCTTGGTTTCGGTCCTTCTCCTTGTTCTTGTTGTCCGAGGGGGTGGGGAGAGGAACAGTTCGAAGGTATAAAACAAGGGGGCGCAGTCTTGAGACAAGTAACCAGTGTTTTGCTGTCGGATGCCAGAGGGTGGGATTGCGGAACTCTCCGGCTCATTATACCTCTTAGTAATAGAAATGACTTAATATTTCTCGATGATGCGAAACATGGCCACTGCCAGTGGTCTGCCAGAAACACGAAGTAGTAGACAGCAATAGGAATCAAGAGTGTGAAAAGAAAAGCTGGCCTTCATCATTGGCGGTATATTTAGGCACATGGTTGGCGGCATCCGGTTTCCGATTTGCCTGTCACTGTGGCCAGCTACAGGACACCTGCGCCTACAGAGGGACCATGGGGGGCTTGCGCTGCACCACCTACAGCTCCAACCACACACCCCATCTCCAGGGTAAACCCGAAGGAATAAGACCGGGAGGCATGCGGATGGGAGCCACGTTTCATCAACGGAGCCGGCCCACACTCCTTCACAGGCAAACACAAGCACCTTGTATTTGGGAAATCATTCGCACACAAGGCAGTGGCTGGACCGTAGTCCGCTCCACACTGAGTGCATGGAACCCCTCTTTGATCCTAACGCGGCCACAATGACCGTGTACCCCGTCCACTCCAGCAACGACCAACTGTCTCCTGAAGCCAGTATGGACGAGGTAGTGGGTAATAGACTGGTAGGCACATTGTCAACATGCACATCAAGCGCAGCCTCACCGGGGACACCAAGCAACAGCCAGTCACTTGAGAGAAAGATAACAAAGAAAATAAATCGAGTAATGCATAAGGAAAGGGTGACATATTTCTTACAGTTATGAGCATCTGAAGCAAATTGTTTACAGAAGAATGCGAGAGAAGTTCACAAGGTCAGAAAGTATACTTTACAGAAATGCTACGAACACAAAAGTGTTTTCGAAAAGGACTAGAATTGGCTTAAGTGACGTGTGCAAGTTTATAGATGAGAGTACAGGTAGACATTTATATGAAAAGCAAAGCATTGGGACAAAATTGAAAACCCACCACCTGAAATAAACAGACTTAGCACGCAAGCAAACGGTGACATAAATCTTAAATTAGTGAGCATATGAAATAAGTTGTTTACAAAAGAATACCTTTACAAAAGAATACGAGGTAAGTTCACGCGGTCAGGAGGTTTATTGTACGGAAATGCTACAAACACGAAAATGTTATCGAAATAACTACAAGTGGCTTAAGCGACGTGTGCAAGTGTATAGAAGAGAGTATAACTAGGCATTTATATGGGAAAGAAAAGCATTAGGGCAAAATTGAAAACCTATCACCTGAAATAAATAGACTTAGCATGCAAGCACGCGGTTGGTAAATAGAATGCAGCGTACCTACAAACGCTGCGCCGGTTCTGCCTACGTTCTCTGCAGAACCCGTCGGCGCTTCGGTAGTAGTCCCGAGTGGCCTCGCTCATGGCTCACTAGGCTTGCCTGACTCAGGCACTCGCGACCGCATGTGCTACAGCACTATGCACTCGATGTCGATGGAATACAATCCATCGGTGCTTGCCGCTTCCGCATTTGCCGCTTCTTCTCTGCATGCATGAGGTCTTTCTCCCGCACTTCAACAACTGCCTTCGTGATGAGATCGCGCCATGCACGCCGATCAACCGCTTTCGATTCCCATGGCCTGCAATCAAGATTAGAACGTGTGAGGCTCCCTTTAATCATGTCCTGGTAACGTAATTTAGTCACATAAGATATAAGTAAACAACAAGGAGTATCTCTTGCGAGCTGGTTGTATTACTGCGATGTATTTGAGTAAGAAATATGATAGATTCGAAATTTACCCTTTACATAATTGTTTAAATGTTGCGCCAAACCTCGTTGCAACGGATAAGGATAAATAGAATATGCAACATATTTTCAGGCAATCTGACCTGTCATTTCGTTGCCCCGTGCGTGGGTGGAATTCGAATCCACCCCTACTGGTATGCTTTTAGATGTGGCTACGTATGTACTGTCGAATTGTATAGTAGGCATTTCCCATCGATAGTGGAAATATCACACTAAGCGTTAGCCAACAAAACTTATCACAAATTGCCACTTATTTGAATGCAGCAACATCTGAAACTGCAACGTTCCCTATTCATAGTTAGGCACAAATTTATTGCCTAAGCTGAAATATCGTGAACGACTTGTTCGAGGATGTTTTCGTCACTTGAGTCGCATCGTACCATGTGGAGTTGATTATCAGAATATTTCTTGGTCGTTCTATAACCCAGATGCTTCTTTTAATGTTGACGGATACCATTGCACCAAATTCAGCAAAATGCGATATTTTGTTACATTCCGTGTCAATGACGCGCATTGCGGGAGGGAAAGTGCGCTACGCCTCAATGCCAAACACTCACTATGGCCACAAATGAAGTGTATTCTACGGTTGTAATTCTCCCAAAACTTCCGACACATTATCAGCCCCTGTCGCATTCTCGTATCTATCAAACCAGAGGCAAGACTTAATAATTTTACCCTCTGCCCAGGGCGGGAGATGAAACAGTTGCTTTCTCAATGTCCTCCAATTTCCCCATATGGGTTTATCTGAAGTTACTAGGTGTCATTCACGAATCTAAGCATTAATAACGAGTCTCGGTGATGCTTGAAAGCACAACAAGTCCACGCTGTTTAGAAGCAGGTTATCCTTATCCGATTTTTAATGATAACGGATATTTGGAGCGCACATAAACAAATCGCCAGCTGTACGCCGTAACGGCGCTTCGCTGCCACGCGACCACCACCAGTAGCGCGTGGGCTGAGTATACCGTGAGGACGCCTGCCCCTACGCGGATTGCGGTGCACATTTTAGCTCAGTGATCTACCTCTAGGGGTTATTAAAGGTAATGTAACGCATCGTAACTTAGGCTCTGGATAAATGAAGCTATGCAAACACTCGGTGCATGGCCACTGCATTGCGTACAGTAAGTCCATACTTTTTACAGTGGAACTACTAACTGCATTATTTTTCATTAACGTTTTTCGAAAACCAACCAGACTACCCAACGGAGCTTGTAAAACAGTGCTTCTTAACCCGTATAAAATCATTGTTCATTGTTCCTAGCCAGGAAGCCATTAGTCAACGAAGGATAGTGGTCTCTAATGCTCAGTGGAACACAATTCTACACAGCTCGCACAGCGGTTGCTTTCGTTGTTTGTTGTGACACCTGCGTGTGCTCTCTTTACACATCTGAGAAGACCCTTCCTGAGGTCTCAGTCACCTCTGAATCTTTATTACCTAGTGGGTCATGTCTACTAACTATCCCCTGTGATGTTGTAGTGCATTTGTTTGCTCACTCTATATCTCTCGTCTAGTATATGTTAAGCGGTAACTGTTAGTTAGGTCGAATATGCTCTGTTGTAATCGACCAATGGTCTACTATATCCGTTAAAACAAGTCAAGTCAAAATAGGCTTTATGAACCCGATTGGGAATATTTTCAGCATTTTCTACTAGCATTGCGTAGGTAATGAGGTAGAATATTAACCTGAAATTGCAATGGAAGCATAAAAAGAAGAAAAGGTGGATGCACCTCACTCAAGCGAGCGTTCATGCGTGGTGCAGATCAGTTTTTTGAAGTCCACAAGTAAACCAGATAAATACGGTATAGTAATGTGAAGATAACATGTGCGAGAAAACAAAACCCTATATTCAGAGCGGGTAGACCAGCAGGGGAAAATTTTGACAGATCAGCGTGAAGGGGTTGGAATTGGTCATTTAGAATACTTAATGTTACATGCCCCAAAATGCTTAGTAAAGATGAAGTAAAGCACAGACTTTCTGCGGGCTGTCCATGACACTTGGAAATGAGCTTACTAGAAGGCACAAGCAGTGTGGGGTGCCAATCGCCAATATAGAGGCAAAAGATGTCCGGTGAGCAGCCTAGTCAACTTGGTGAACCAGCCAAGTGCACGCGAGCGGTATTGATTGATTGGTCACAGCTAGATCCTTCTAGATGTTTCCACCTGAGCTTTGTATACGCTCCCGAATATACGAGTTGACTTTTATAATGAACACTGTGACTAACAAATACAATCCCGTTTCGGAATGTAAAGGTTTCGGTGTTGCTCTTCCTAACACTAGCACAATCCCGTTTCCTTCCTACTTGTCCGACCGCGATATTTTCTCTTTCCTATG